TTACAGCATGGTTAAAAGGAGCACTTTAAAAACGTTCTCCTTCCTGGGGATTCTGTACCTCAATCCTTTGTAGCCCCCAATTTTACCATATGAACAACAAAAAAAGTAAGAGTTTTCAGAACAAGCTCACACAATGGCACAGGATGAGTGGGAGGAAGGAAAAGACAAGCTCACAAGCTCACATGTTGGCTTATAATAGGCCACACGTATGGTTTTCCTCCACCTTTTACTGTATTTCCTGGTTGGCATTCCACAAGCTAGCAGGCCACAGGGCAAGACATTTTGTACTGTGAGACTAATTGTTCTGTTCCTTCTTCTCAATGTTTGGTGCATTCTCCAGACCAGAAGCATGGCATCTTTGGGGACTCATTAGAAATGCAATTTCTTGGGCTGCTCACGAGGCATACAGTAATACATCATGAACTCTAGGCATGGGCTCACCAAGCTGTGTTTTAACAAGCCCTTCAGGTGTTTCTGATGCCTGGCACAGTGTAAGAAGCCCTTACTCATGGCTGACCTACGATACAGAAATGTATTCAGAACGGTCCCTCTGTAAATAAACATTACAGTACATGGGTCCAGGTGCCCATCTAGAAGAGAGGGGAATCCATTCTTCCACACAGGGGGTAGTGCAGGCCTGGCTCATTCTACTCATGGTATTCATGGAGCTTGCAGTGCAGGAGAGCCTAAAGATTCCAGCCAAAAAAGCCTACATATAAGTAAACAATTACACACTGTGGCAAACACTCAGAGAATGTTGAGAATCAGCTTTCACCTTAGGGGCCAAAGGGCCTCGCTGTGGAAAATGTCAGTTAATCTAAGATATGAAGTTGGCCAGGCAAAGAGAGAAGGAAATAAATACTCTCAGTCCAGGCAAAGCTTGTGCAAAGGCCATGTAGCAAGCAGGAGGGAGCTTGGTGTTTTGGAGATACTGTTGTTAAGAAGCCAGGTTGCATCAGGTATGGTGGCACACACCTGTAATCCCAGCACTCTGGCAGGCTGAGGCAAGAGGATCACAATCTACAGTCCTACCTAGGCAACTTGACAAGATCTTGTCTCAAAAAAAAAAAAAAATAAAATAAAAAAATGCAGGGAGGGCTGGGGATATAGCCTAGTGCAAAGGCCCTGGGTTCTATCTCCAGTACCAAAAAAAAAAGAGGAGAGAGAAGGAGGAGAGGAGGAGGAGGAGGAAGAGGAGAAGCTACCACTAGCAGAAGCAGCCAGGGTAGCTGAAAAAGAGGAGGAGGCAAAAGTTTCAAAGAATAAACTGGAAACAGCACCTGGCCTTGTTGCGTGCAAAGGCCTCACAGGTGTGATTACGTCTACGTCAGAAACTTAGTTTAACAAGGCTATTTCCAAATCTGCAGCAGGGTGAAGAAGACAAGGAAAGTGGTCTAGTTTGCATTTCCAAACCACTGAAGGTGCAGAAAGGAAAAAGGAGTGGCAACAGAGACCACTGCATCTTCTAGGCAAGAAATGGCAGGGCCCAGGCCAAGGTAGTGACAGCAGAGATAGGCAAGCAACAGAAGTGCCTGGGTGGCAGAGGAAGAGTGGACTGTTCCAGGGACTGCTTTGCACATACTAAGTCCCCTGACCATGGCCAAAGAACACAGCTTAACACATCTTCTCTGGAGAACAAGGATAAGGACTGAAAAAGGTTCCTGGAGGGCCAACCCAAAACAGCACTGCAACTGTGACAGAAACAGCCGCACGTGGCCTCTTTGGTTTAAGCAGTGTGTTACCTTCTGCAGAAGAGCATCTGCAGGGAAAAAGTCTGCTCTTTATGTAGAACAGATGCCCTTACGACTAGAAGAGGTCATGGGTGGCCCTCAAAGCACTGACCAGAGTGAAACTTAGATGGAACAAGTTACTTCTAGCCTGTTAACAAGCACTCTCTCTTTAATTACCTTCCTTGACTGCCTCACCGCTCATTACAGGGAGGAAGACAGCATATTTGTCAGAATGGCCTCAATTCTTAGGAAAGTCCTACCTTTGGTAAAGTGGTGTTGGGAGGGTCCACATGTTAAACTATTTCCTTGGGTTAGATTTGGAGTCTAAGTATGGTCTCTATCACCTGTTAAATAACAAGTGTGTGTGTGCTGAGAGGGATGGAACTGCACCCCACTTATCCTGCAGAGCTTAAGAATCAATGCTACTAGCAGATGTGTGCTAGAGGTGTCTACACCTCCGAAGCAATCAGTGGAGCCACTGGGCCTAATCAGCTGACAGCAATAACCATGGCTGAGCTGTTCCCCCTCCCCATGATGATCCATGCATGCTTAGTCACAGCATGGACAAGCCAGATGTAAAGCCAGCAGGCTTCAGAGATCATGGAGGTAGAAAGTAGGCAGGAGTACACTTCCTTCTATATGGAAGTCAAAGTCCCACTTATACTATAGTTGTGATTAAGGCCACCCAGATTTTGGAGCCGTGAAAAGCTTCATCACAAAAGGTTACAGAAACAGTAAAGAACCCTCTGAAATGCTCTCCTGACTGTCCATTTTCCCGCCACTCTTCTCTCCCGTGTTCCCTTTTCCTGCATTCACTGCCTTAACTGGCCACAAAGTCTGTACTGTAAACTGAAATTGTAAAAACCTGGTGAGTAAATGTTCCGACTCCCCCCGTGTTTACCTAAGTACTAAAATAAACATTTCTTATTAAGTAAGGCTCTGGGTCTTTTTTCCCAATAGGATACAAAAGCCTAAAAAAGGGCAGTGATAGGCCTGTCCCTGCCCCACTGGAAGGGGTCAGGAGGCTTCTAACACAACAAGGGAGTAAAAGGTCCAGGTGGGAGGTGAGTGGGAAGGGACAGGACAGAATGGTACAGGATGAAAGGGAACATCTCTCCGGGCCTCAAACCCCACAGCACAGAGCCTTCTATCCCCGGGAACTATAAGCAACAGTTAACATATCATACAGCAAAGACTTGAAGGCTGAAGAAATAGTCATCTGCTCTAAGCAAATAGCCCTCGAGTGGCCTGCAAGACGCTGAGTGAGTGGCTTAATCACCCAGCAGGGTCTAGCAGGCTGTCTCCTGGGAGACAGCAAGCCAGTAAATGGAAAGCATTATCATTCATAACAGGATTAATAACAACACAGGCTGGAAACAGACACCACTGGATTACTTCTCCAACCTCTTTAAGGAGACCACTGATTTGGATGGAGATTTTTATTTCTTTGTTTTTAAACAAGTCAACCTCTCCCACCATGTAACACCAGGAACCATCACCAGAGAAATCTTTTCTTGTATAGCATCTGTCCTGCCAGGACAGCCTGCCTGAAGAATGGAGGTCAAAACAGTCAGCCAGAATGTCTAGAAGGAATTTTACAATTCAGAATAAACAGGAAAAAAGAAAGGAAGAAAGAAAGAAAAAGCACTTTTCAAAAGGCTTAAGGGGATCAATAATTCCAGTTGCAGTATTTCCTAAGCTATGCTTCTGGAACCACTTTGAATGCTGGTAAAAAAAATTGAGGACTCTATGCCTAAGGTGGGGTTGCCCAGAGATCTCCCTTTTTAATAAGCTCTCTGGGTCCTTTTTATGCAACTGAGGTTGGTGAAGCCCTGCTGTATTTTATTAAGGCACTGCTGATACACAGGTGAAGTCAGAGAATGATTCGTACATTTAAAATTAAGACAGACACTTTAGAGATTAACATAGTTTTACCTCAGGCAGCGTGGTGGCGCACACCTGTAATCCCAGCACTCCAGAGGCTGAAGCAGGAGGATCACTGTGAGCTCGAGACCAGCCTGGGCTACATAGTGAGTTCCAGGTCAGTCTCAACTACATAGTGAGACCCTGTCTCAAAACCTCCCCCCACAAAAAAAAAAAACAAAAAAAAGCAGTTTTACCTCACTTATTAATTGTGTCTTTGGCACTCCAAATTTTTCAAGAATTCATTATTTAAAAACATTAAAAACACATTAGTATACTCCTTTTCTTTTCCTTTGATGAAGTATCTACAAACGATCAGTGACCTGAAAAGATCAACATTTGGTGACAGACAAGTTGTCACCCTGGCAGTGAGCCAGAGCTCCGTACTCAACAACCAGCCCTCCCAAGCCTCAGTCACATCTTACTGGCTTTTTAATTATTCAAAAGATAAGCACAACTGTACCTTGAACTTTTCTAAATCACAGTATAAGAAGGCTTCGAGGCTACAGGGATCAAAGTGTATAGGTGCAATATCCCTTATCCAAAATGCTTGGGACCAGAATGTTTCTTTTTAAATTCTGGAATAGTTGCATGTGCTGTAACATAATGAGAAATCTTGGGGATGGGACCATGTCTAAACACAAAATTCATTCAGGCTTCATATACACCTTACACACACAGCCTGAAGATAATTCTGCACAATACTTTTCACGTCCCTGCATTCTGTGACCTGTCACATGAGGTCAAGTGTGGAGTTTTCCACTGGGAGCATCGTGTTAGCGCTCAGAAAGTTTCTGATTTTTGAGCATTTTGGATTCTCGAGACTATAGATATTCAACTCTGTACAGAGCAAAAGACAACAAAATGTGGATTTGGCAAGATCCTGCTGGAACAACCTCAGACTCAGACATCTAATACTCTCCCCTGCTGACGTCTCAGAATCTCTCAGAGATACACAAAACCACGCGGCTGGCACTTCAGAAATCAGGATGGAGATTCCTTGAGAAACTAAAGATAGAAATTCCATTTGACCCAGCTATTCCCCTTCTGTCTTAGTCACTTTTCTCACTGCTGGGACAAAAATACCCAACACCCACAAGTTAATGGAGGAAAGGTTTATGTTAGCTCATCGTTCATAGAGGTTTCAGTTGTTAGCTGGCCCCAAGGTAGGGCAGCACAGCAGAGAAGAAACAGTGCATGGCAGGACAGGCACAATGCAGCAAACAAAAGCCTTCCAGACTTTTATCCTAACCGGGTTAACAAGCCTATTGGGTGGTGCTACCGACACAGAGGACAGATCTTCTCATCCACACCTACAGAAGACCAGATAGGAAGCATGAGGCCTACCTGGCATCCTCCTCCTCAGTGAGCGCTGGGAAGAAACAGGGCATTCAAGCTTGCTAACACACTGCAGGAAGAAGCAAAAACACCTGAGGTTAAGTGATTTACCTGGAGAAGTACAGTGGAAGGTGGGAGACAGATGATCCTGTGGAACTCTAACTGCTTCTACCCGTGTCTGAGTGAATAAAGTCAAGGTGCACCAGTCATGTGGGGCTCTATGTCGAAGGGAGATGTGAACCCCTTCCTTGGCCCCTCAGATTTTAACTTGTTTCTGTGTCTCTTTATTTTTCATCTTTGTCACCTCTTGGTCAGGTTCCAGCTCAGCTTGTAGGCTAGTTCCTACACACACCCAAAACTATGCTGACTCAATCAGTGGATTAACTTACTTATCACAAACCCCAAATCCAGCATCACACTCCTCATGATCCAACCACCCAAAAGCCTAACCTATGAGCAAATGAGGCCTTGAGGGAATATCTCGATACAAGTCATAACACCATCTTAAGTATCGTCCCAAGAAAATTTAAAACACATTACAGTGATACATGTGTGTGTTTACAGAATCATGTTTTTAGCTATATTAATAGATAAATCTTGGAAGTGGCCTATATAGGTGAATGGATAAAGAAAATATAATATATACAATGGAGTACTACTCTGCTAGAAAGATACTTTTGAGTTATTTGTCGAAAAATGGATACACCTTGAGACCATCACGTCAAATAAAATAAATCACACAGCCTTTAATATTGCATAAATTTCTCACATATGAGAAACCCAAAATATAAATTAAGAGCAAAATGAATAACAAATAATAGAATACAGAGATAGATCTTTTGCAGGAAAGGAAGGGGTCCAAAAAAGGAAGGGTAGGGAAGGGAGGGATGAAAACAGAATTAAGGTGTGCTACGTACTTGTACCAACTCCCCATGACGAATGTAACCACTATGTACTGAAAACATGTACTAATAAAAATTAAAACTTAAAAACCCATGGTGTTGAAAGCAGAAGACATCTGTCACAGAACCTGGAAGGTACAACCCAGTGATGGTGAACCTTTTAGAGCTTTCAATGATAACAGTCAACTGCAGCACTTGTGCCATAGGTCTGCCACCACTGGCACAGCCCATCACCGACCCCACCACCTGAAGTGCCCGTGTCTTCATAGTTTATAACTATTTATATTAAGATAAGCATTATTATACTGTATCATGTTTGTGCTATAAGGTGATCAGTTCTTACATGTAAACAGTGAAAATTCTCTATGGTGTTGCTAAACCTGGGTGATACAATCTTTCACTTTAAGTCTTACAGGAAGACTTAAATGACAGAATTTGGCCGTTGGTCTCTTGAGCTCTCAGAAGCCCAACCTGTAGGGCAAACCAATGAAGCTAATTCAACACTACAGTGGCCTACTATAGATCTGCCAAAGACGACACTGGAAATCTACAGGCACGGGTGTCAGGAGAGAAAAAAAGAGCAGTTCCCAAATTAACCTTTGCTTTACTGGTAGTGCTTTGGCCTCCTGCCTAGCCTGGCACTTCCTACAGTCCTGATATCTGACAGTCTCCAAGTGGTCTAGCTGGTTATTCTGTTTAGTTTACATCTCTTGGGCTTTTCCTTGGTTAGGCCAATCAGAAACTCAGTGGAGGACTGGAGAAAGGAGGAGAGAGGTCAAAGTATCTCTTGCCAGCTCTTTCCCCTTGAGAGCAATCGTGCTTCCTTGACTACCACTGGGCAGCCCTTCTTCCCTAGTTCCGGATCTCACTGGATTCCAGGGACTCTCCTTCCTCCCCTTACTGCTTGGTCCAGAATATGGGTTTACCACTGTTGTTAGGATGCCTTTGTGGATCTCCGATTCCAGCCAGCATCCCTGTACCTATTTCTTCTACTAGTCTTCATTCCAACCACCTTGAGTGAATTCTATTTTCTACCACTAACTGATACTGATTCTCATTTTATTTGTAGTTGCTTTTGCAAGTGAAAGTTAAATACATAAATGTGAAAAAAAATAAATAAATACATAAATGTGGGTCTACAAGAAGGTAGAGTTATGTTTAAGAGTTCCCTAATCTGGTTTTTTTTTTTTTTTTTTTTT